TCATGTTGTTTAAAAACTGAACTTCACAAAAGAAATTATAATTTACTAATTTTTAGCATGGTATTGTTACAAAAGCAAACTCAGCTTGAATATTAGGTGCAGTTTTGGTCACCACAATGTAAGAAAGATATTGAACTTTTAGAGAGCTTCCAAAGGAGAGCAAGGAAGATGGTGAAGGGCCTTAAGGGGAAGGCGTATGAGGAGCAGCTGAGGTCATTTGGTCTGTTCAGCTTGGAGGAGACTGAGGGGAGACCTCATTGCAGTTACAACTTCCTTGTGAGGGGAAGAGGAGGGGCAGATACTGAGCTTTTCTCTGTGGTGACCAGTGACAGGACCTGAAGGAATGGCCTGAAGTTGAGCCAGGGAAGGGTTAGGTTGGATATTAGAAAATGGTTCTTCCCCCAGAGGGTGGTTGGGTGCTGGAACAGGTTCCCAGGGCAGTGGTCACAGCACCAAGGCTGAGAGAGTTCAAGAAGCGGTTGGATGATATTCTCAGGCACAGAATGGTCCTGTGCAGGGCTGAGAGTTGGACTGGATGATCCCTGTGGGTCCCTTCCAACACAGTATATTCTGTGATTTATATGTGTCTCTGCAACTTCAAGACTAACCTAGGCAGGGTTCTTTGGCTTTTGCTGTCAATGTGGAGCTATTGATCCATCAACATAAATCCTTACTTATCTCCAGTCAAGTTTATAGGACAATGAAATTATAGGATTGCTTGAATCAATCAATGTTTCTAAAGCAAGCTATAGACATATAAACAAGTTACCGATTATTTAATAAAGTCAATTTGCTTAGAAATGCCTGGCGACGGGCAGCAGATGTTACAGTAATTTCTGCTTTCTCTGGAATTTCACAGGGGATGCAAGATCTTAATGTCACTATTAGCAAAGGTAACTTTATTTTAGAAACTCATTCTGAACTCTCACAGCAAGAGGAAGAAACTGTCATTCCTTTTGACCACAAAACCTGTGCTATTTCTAAGTGGAGTTCTTTGAAATAACTAGGATATCTCACAGCTTGTTGCTTTTAGAGGGGACTTAGTAAAGTGGCACAACATTTAGTTAGCATAAAGGGTTTTTTAGCCCCTAAGATATTGACTGAGTTTGAAGAACCAAAACTTTTAGTCAGCTAAGATTAAATTTGTTAGTTTGAAGTACAAGTTTACATAGTATTTTAGCTTTCCTAGAATTTTAAGCTGGGTGCCTGTTTCCTGAGAAGCAGTTAGGTTAATATAACCAGGTTCTGACTTGGCAAAACAATTTAAGTGTCAAAGTGTGCCTTTGAGTTTCTCAGCTGGAAGTGTCATGAAAGTGGCCTCCTCAGTGTGGTTTTACAGTTATTGTGTTTGCCTTTGGAGATCCAGTTTATTGGAGTGGTTTTATTCAAGGTGGTTCTAGAACCTTCCATGCCCTCATGGTATCCTTATGGTGCTCCCACCTGTACTGAATGTAGAGCAAGATCTTTATTAGTAGACTCTGGTGCCTTGGTGGTCTGTGTGTTGGGTAGCTTATCATAGTTTGTCATGCAGGAGTACAGAATCATCTGATTAGTCTGCCTAATCAATCTTGAACAGGGATAGTAATAATTAAGTCACAGATGGCCATTATAAATCCCTCTATTCCAATACATTAATATTCCTAGTACTTTGGATATTAGGGTTGCTTTAGATTTTAAAAAAATCCATGTGAAATGGATCTTTGATCTTTTTGATTGGTCTACCTTCAAGACGTTAAGAATTCATTTTGGTTTGGAAATGTTTTTGTCTTGAAGATAAATTATTCTCTTATATACTTACTCATTTTTGTATGTGGGCTTTGTTACAGCTTATACATAAACTAGTCTCTGTTTAATTTTTTTTTAAGCTGTTTTGTGGTATTTTGGTCTGCAGTATTTTGTTGCTAAGCTGTCTATAGCAGGATGTAGTTGATCTGTGCTACAAATTACTATAGAGCCTGGGCTTCCTTTGCCTATGATAAAGTTGGTGTGGCTCAGCCTTAATTAGATTATTATAGACCTAAAACATACAAGGTAGAATAGCATGAGAGGAGTTAAATTTGGTCATTAGCAGGAGTGTGTGGTTAGTCTAGCTGGTGTAGTCATTAGCTTCCAAAATAGATAAGATTACACTTTCCATTTGATGTGCTTTGAAGAGAAGTCAAGTCCTTAACGTGATTTAGGTTTACTTAGAAGGTCTATGATCCTGCTTTGTAATAAGCTCTGTATTTCATGTTGGAATGGTACTTGTCTATGTCAAGCATTGCTGACATTCACAGCCACAGTTGTATTCATTCGGAAGTTAAAATGCATTGTTTTTGGAAGAGCATTTACAGAAAATATTATTGCAGTCAGACAGGGCTTTAAGGCATGAAGGCTTCCTGTAAAACCTGGATTGTCTGGATGCCAGGCTTTCTTTTTTTTTTTTTTTTTCTTTTTCAGTTGAGGAACAATTCAGTTCCTCAGACTTTGAATGCTGTTATGTACTTCCCTGTTTAATACTTACTGCTGCCAACATCTGTGCAGGCTGAAGCTCTGGCTGTTCAGGATTGAACTGCTTCTGTCTTGTAGGTCTGTCATTTGCTAGGGAGCTCCAAGGCAGTGCCGGGGAAGGAGGGATGTGATGGATGTCTTCTTGTAGATAACGTTTTGTTTGTGATGAGCAAGGCAGCGATCTATGGAATTTACTTGCTGCAGGAGAGAAGAGCTCGGATGGCACTGTGTCAAGGAGCTGCAAAGCTTGGTAGATGCAATTTGGAGTGAAGCCTGGTGGAGGCAAATGCAGACAGTGCTGCTGACTCATAGCAGTCTTAGAGGAAAAGGCTCTCTTCCACTTCTGCTTGCCTCTGGCTTCCTCCAGCATGTGGTTAGTGGGGACTTTGTCTCCCTAGTTCTCTGATGCTACTGTAATATTTATCAGCTAGGCTCAACAAAAGGAAAGGAGGTTGGTGAAAAATATCTGTGCTATTAACTGGTTAATTAGGATGACATTTCTCATGTAAAGGACCTCTAAAGAGAGACTCGGGATTGATGAACAGCCTGTTTTCATTGCTGTCTGCATCCCCGACTCCTTTTCCCCACCCTGCAAAGCATCATGTGGATTTATGTGACTCTTCACAGAGCTGAGATCCTTAACTCTGAGATTATAACTGTGAGTGCGTGGGTCTGTGATGAGGAGTGCTCTGGGCAGGTTTTGGAGTCGATGCTGTGTGCCACCCTGCCTAATGGTTGGAGGTGCTGAGTTAAAATCCTTCAACTAGTAGCAGGTGATGAGGCTTAAATAAAAAATAAAACTGAGGCTTAAAAAAACAAACAAACAAAACAAACACCAACATCAAAACCAGAAAAGGATGGAAAGAAAAGCTTGATTATGTGTTGTCTTACAAATTGTATGCTGATGTGAGAGTCTATTTTCTTTCATAATCCATGCATTTGAGAACTATTCATCCCATCTATTTCCTAGTGTGACTGGCAAAAGACTCCAACGTTTCTTAAAAGACAAGTGAGTCTGTACTTGACCTGTGTGTGCTGACAGGAGTTATGCAGTTGACTTTAATAGGAGAGCATCTGAACTCTATATGCAGAAAAATATGTCTTTAAACTAAAAAGCCAAGTAAATAAAAGTACCTTCTATGCTTGTGGTGATTAGTTTAGTTTTTTGAAGAGACTTTAATGCATATGTATATTTTGTTTCTTAATTTTTTTTTTTAAGTTCCACAAAATCAGTTGCTGGTTGGGGTTGGCTTGTGCCTGCTGATTAATTCCTTGTGTCACTGGTCTTGATTCCTGTTGTAGTTGTTCTCAGATAACTTGCCCTCAGCAGCAAACCAGCAGAGCTATTATTGACCCAGAATAGCAACAGATTGTTAATACAAGCAAGGTTTTCTGTGAACTACGTCGCTATTCTGTGGAGCTGATGAGCTGGTTAACACCTTTTACTTATTCTGCAAGGATCTGAGGCTGGAAGGGAATTAATGCAGCTGTGAAGCACAGGAGAACCAAAATAGCAGTGATTCAGTTAGAGTAGAGCCAAATCTTCTTAAAATTAAACTCCATTGTGTTAGAGACTTTATTTTTTTGATACCTATATTATTAACTTCTCTGATAAATGCAGGAAATGTAATACAGTGATATTGGAGAAGCCTTGCACATTAAATCTAAGCTATTGTCTTGGGGTTGTAATAGAAGAAACCACTCTTCATCTGGTGTGTTATGAGAATCAGATTCTACCGAATTTCTGTTTCTCAAGGTTACCATATAATTCACAAACTTAGTTTTTGCGTAGCATTGATTTCCTTCACTTTCGGATACGTTGTTTAGAATGACTGGGAAGTCTGCAGTACATATATGAGTATTTATAGTTTCATAAGTAACAAACAATACTGGACAGTTCAGGTAATTTTGTCATGGGCAAGGGCATTTACTTGAAAGTTGCTGCTGTTGTTATCCTAAAGATTTTTTTGATTATGTAATTTGGTTACTTTAGTGTGTAACAGGCTGATGGTCTTCTTTCACAGAGTTTTCCTCTAGTTCCTCCTTTTAGTTGTGATAATTTAAAGTTTACCCTGTTCCTTTCTTTCAAGATATAACCAGCTTGTAAATTAAGTGCTAATGAACTTTTACGTTGCATAAATGCTCTATTTTTGGTATTTTAGAGAATTCTACTGTTTGTATGTCAGGGCACCCCTGAAAGTGTCTTTATATTTTTCTTCCATGATCTGTAACATGGCCAGGTTCTCTTCCCCTCTTTTTTCCCCCACACATTCCCCAGTTTCCCATACTTGCTGTCTAAAAACCTATTCAGCAGCACCGATGTCTCAAGTGGTGGGTATGTAAATATTTATGGTTATGACAGTCAACAACAGTGGGAGGGGGGAAATTGCTACATTCTACCATTCAGGGAACCTTCGAGTTCTGTCTGAGTGTGCAGTCGATGAGAAGAGGAGAGGCTTGCAGTTTGTAGTTGACATGTTTTTGCTCTCTCGGTTCCTGTTTTGTTGCAGATGTCACTCATATAGCAGTGGAAGGCTTTATCAGCTCTTGCGGAGGCTTTCCCCTGCACTCGGAACTCAAGGCTGGAGCTGTAGTGGAGGAAAATGGAGCCTGTAGATCTCCTGGCATTTGCCTCTGTAGAAATGAATAGCACAAGAGTCACCCTGGCTTTGCTGGTGGTCTTCCTGGTCCTGCTGTATTGGTAAGTGATAACGGTGGTGTGGGCTGCTTATCAGACAGAAAGCCTGCTGAAGCCCCACCAACATCTACAGAGTCTTTTATTCATATGGGGAAACTGGAAGATAATTGCCTGGGAGGGAAATGGAGGGGGAGTTGGTTTGGATGCAGAGGTTGTAGTAAATACTCACAAAACTCATGATGCTTTTAGAGAATTATCTCCTTGCAATATTGTCTTCTAAGTGCTTTACCAACAAACTGCTAACAAAAATTGTCTTCAGAATCAAAAAAATCCAACTTATCTGTTGGTTTCTTATTAGTTTCTGTGGGCAGCAGGAACACTGGTTAGAAAGAATCCAAGTTTTCATTGGATTTCTCTGTACTATGCTGCACACTTGTCCCTTGCCAGGTTTCTTGGCTGAAGTGTACAGACACTTTAACCACTGCTTGAACTTCCTCTCTTGTTGTTTCCGTACTGACTAATGGATACAAATCAGAATAACAGCAGCCCTACTGGTTAGCACAGTAGGCATTGCAGTGAGCTGTGCTGAAATGAAAAAAAAACAAAACCCTTTCTCAACAATTTATTTCAGAAATTAAATGAAATGAACTGGGAGTACTTCTCTGACTGTTTTTACTTGTATACATTCTCAAATCCTGCTTTCCAGTCAAAGAATCTTTTTTCTCAACTGCATGAGTGTTCAAGAAAAAGGTGCAGGTACGGTTGTAGAGAAGGAACATCCGACAAAACCCCAAAGATAATCTAGAAGAGAATAGTGATGCTAAACCATGAGTTTAGCACAATCATTGTAGCAATGTAAGTGACAGATCACTTCTGCATGTATTTTGTCATTGTTTCACCCTGTTGAGCATCAACTTCCTTCTGTGTCCAGGAAGGGTCTAGGGAGACTAAAAAGAGTCAAACTCATATCTGACATGCAAGGCCATATCAAGTAGGTAGGTGGCCCTGCTTTCTTAACAAGATCTCCCCAAATCATCACAAATGTCCAAGTCTTACTTCCTTTGAATTTTTACCGGGAAAAGAATGGCAGCTCTAGATATTTAAGTAAGACCATGCTGTTTAGCTGCCAATTTGTGCACCTCTGTGAGCTTAAGGGGAAGAGAAGGAGAACAGAGGCACATCCACAGTTCAGAAAAGCAGCAGATCAGCTGGTGAGGTCTGACCACCTGTGAGTTATCTCAAAGAGCCTGGTACTTCCACGTAGTATGTGTCCAGATATGCAGAGATCTCTGAAGACACAGAAGTGCTCTTTGTAAACATTGGGTACATTCTGATGTATGCTTCTCCAGGGCCTCATTTTCCTGTTCCATTTAGGGAAGGCAGTTCCTCCCCTTGAAGTTATAAGGTGGTGTTTTAGTGCACATTCAGTCTCGCCATTAACAAAACTAGTTTTAATTGCAGAGTTGGGACAGGCTTATGGCTGTGGGCAGTCACTGCTGAACTGAGTGCCTATCATTAAGGTTTCAAAAAGTTCAATTTAGCAGTGAGATGGGAAACTGTCTAACAGTAGAGACACTCCATTCAGTGTGCCTCCTTTGCTGGTTGAAGGTGAATTCTGTGAAAGCATCAAGAAAAGGAAGCTGAAGTTCTATATGGGGAAAGTGTTATATACTCTTCCCTGCCAATGATTACTACTACCCAGTCTTGTTGATCTACAGATTTCAGGCTGATTTTTAAGCAGCTTATTAAATACAGATGTCTACAGGTCACTAATTAAATGAGGAGCTTAAAACTGCAATGAAATATGCTGGGCAACACCTGTGGGCTATTGGTGGGTTTACCTGGTGGCTAAGTTGTTCAGACCCATTTATCTCAGTAAAATGCAGTGACCGAACCTGTAAGGTAATGTTTTGAAGCACATCTGCTAGTGTGGTGGTTGTTGTTCAGACTTGTCACCTTATTCATTTTGAGTCTATTTTGTACAGTTTTTTATACTGCATGCCTGTTTGAACAAATGAGTGAAACTCAGTGCATGCTCACAGATGCCTTTATTCATGGCTGAAACCTTGGGTTCAAGGAATTATTTAAGCAGTAAAATGGTTGCCTGTAGAAATGCAGGTTGTTAATGCTAGAGAATGTTTTTATTACAGTCATGTTGCATACCTGATTATCTGGCTCTTCTAGGAGTCAGGAAGCATGAGTGTTGTGTATGGAAGGAGTGATAGTAAAGTAGTAATTCTTAAAGTTCCTTTGATGTTTATGTTTTCATTCTAAGCCTTATTCTCACTTTTTAATAACTCCTGAATTAATTTTTTTCTAGCTTTTTCTGTTAGGATTGTACCTTTACAGAGGGGCAGTCATGGGGAAAGGGAGGAATGAATATTTTCTGTTGTAATATTGTTATGGTAGTACCTTATGATTGATCAGGGTCATGTTGTGTCAACTCCTGTGTGAGTACAAAGAACAGGCAGTTTGTCCACCTTGTTGCCTGCAAAAGGCTTGGTAAGGCTGAACAGAAGGCAGTTTCAGGTAGAAGAGAGAGTCAGAAGATTTAATGCACACTGGAATAGGAACATGGTGATGGCAGCTGTCACACTACTGAGCTATTTCCTTCACATGATTTTTGTGGGTGGGGGTACTCAGTGGTTTAAATGACAGCCTTGAGCTGCTGTCCATCAGCTCGGCCTCAGTCACTGTTAGTGTGTGTATTGTAAGGCCAGCTGTGATTTGTCACAGTTCAGCTGCCAGGTGATATCTTGCTAAGCTGTGATAAGACCAATCTCTTCACATTTTTGGGTATAGTGAGGTCATGTGAAGAATGGGTTGATTGGGAAAGGGAGGATAGGCTACATCTGCATAAAAATAAACTTCTGGGGAAGATAGAGTTCTTAGGAAGAAACTTGAATGATTTGATAATTTTTTTAGGCTGTTATTTATGGTACAGTGAAGATCATCAATAACTCTGTGTAACAAATCATTTAATAGCATATCTCTAATTCCTCATGTGTTGTCATCAGTGTAAAATAAGGGTAATGCTTCTGGTGCAGCATGTCAATTTTAGGTCAGTGGAAGCAGGTATGATCTCTGTGTTTGTCTTCCACATAATCTTAAGTCAGCTCTAAGGAGAGGCTTTTTGAGGTAGTTGATTTAATGTTGGGAGTAGAAATAACTGAATAGCTTTTGGACACATAGTCTCTTCAGACATGAAATAGGAAAAACAAACCTGAGATTGGTTCGTTGGTAATCTGTTAATTTAAGAGGCTCAAGAGATCTTCAAACCTGTTTGCTGTCCCCCACTCCTGAAGGACTTAGTTGTCTGCTACCCTCACCATTCTACTTGTTCTCAGTAGGTCAAAGTCTCTTCTTGCAGATTTCATATCACAGATTCTTCAATGCCTGTTGCTACATCATTGCTATTGTGATAGACAACTAAATTACTTTTTTAGCTACCATAAAAAGGCATAATATGGCTAAATACCTAAAGTTCAGTCATACCAGTGGCACAACACTTAGCAGTCCTAAAAAATCTCTTGTTCATGTCCCTCCCACCCCCTGTGATTTTTTTTTTCCCCAAACTGTTTATCAGATTATCTGATTATCAGAGCAGTTTCTTTTAAGAGCATTTTCTTTCTCAGTTGCAAGCACTGCATTTGCCTAATCTCTGTGAATCTCAGGGTTTTTTTCAGGCATGAAATAAAACCAAACACTTAAGGGAGGGATGAGGTTAACATTTACAAATCCCAGTGATATTCTCTATTGAAAAATACAGTGGTATATCTATACAACATATTGTTCATTTTCATTTCAAACATATGCTGAGTTGGATATCCCATGCTTGGCTGTAGCTGCAAACATTGCTTTGTGTCTTTCTTTTTGCTGCCTGGGTAGATGTTTGATAAAATGAAAGCAGGAGTTTATCTTGCTTTAAAGTTTAATGTACCATAAGCTGAGCATTATGAAGAAGCTGTCACAGCATTCAGATACCTGTGTTCAAACTGGATTATCAACCCCTTGTCTAAACAAACCTGGGTTTTTTCAGAAACATGGAGGTTGGATGGGAGTGTTTGTTTATGTTTGTAAGATACACGTCTAATTACATGCTTTCAAACATAGCAAAACATATACTAATGGTGTTCTTGTCTGTTTCTGAAAAGCTAAGTAATTCAGAAAGATGTCATTTTCACATTTTTGCATTCCACATTTTTACAGTAATATTAATAATCACTTGTGTTACAAACATGTATAGGGAGACTAAGAGATTTGGGTTCCACTGGATCAAGGTACTGTCCACCCATTACATAACAAGTCAATCCTGACCCAAAGCATTTGCGGTCTCTGATCAAAAAGAAAGAAAACAAAGTATTTTTCTTCCTCTGCTCTTAAGTTTAGATGTTTGCATACAGGTAGATGTGGGATATACTTAGACATGGAGGATGTGTTAGTACCACACCTGTACTAGACCACATCAGAAGTTGATCTCAGGATAGATAGCATTTCAATACAGGTGACTTCAGGAAGATTGCTTGTTTGGCATTACTTGGCATCCTGTGATTTTGGAAAGGGAAAGGTTAGAGCTAATCTTTCTCCAGCAAAAACTTCATTCTGATTTTGCAGAACTTTGCTCTTTGGGCTTGAGTTAGGTAAAACTGAGGTCAAATAGATCTCAGATGTTTTGTTTGGGTTTTTTATTTTGTCCCCCACCCTTCCAACTAGATGCTGTCTAATACTAGATGTTGGGCCAATTTTTGCTCCTCGAAAAATCAGTATTTATCAAAGATGTTTGATAGCCATAAGCTTTTAGGCTAATGACCTGAGTGCAGGCCTAACATGAGCAGATTATTCTCCCTAATATATCCAGATAATGCTTCTGGACAGATCCAGGGAAAGGCAGTACAAAGCTTGGATCCTTTTTGGATTTACCACTGACTGTGGGTGGGTAGACCCTAACTTTTCTACCTGTCACTGCTGCCATCAAAGGCACAGGGTTGCAAGGACCACTATGGCTGGAAAGAGGCCTGAGTAAGGAGCATCAGTATACACTCAGAAAGACGTACAGCTCCACT